GAGCTGCCACTGACCCCACAGCTTCCTCCTCCACATGTTGGTCCTAGGAGGCAGAGCAAACTCCAAGAAAGATCCTCGGGCATGCTCTGGGGTTCACATTTCTGTCCTCAGCCTTTCCTCCTGCCTTGTCTACGTGACAGGCAGCTGCCTGTTCAGGATGCGAATGCCATCCCCCTTTGCTGGAGGTATCTCTGGGCCTTCCTCTTTCATCTCATTTGTGTTCCAGGTTTCCAAGCTGCAGTGAGACCATTTTACAGCCATTTGAACTGTGTTTGTGTAGTGTTTGGGTTCCTGGTGGGGCCCCTGGCCTTGCCGAGCTGCCAGGCATGGATGTCAGCGGTGGCCCTGGGCCACTAGCTGCTGAGGAGGGACCATGACTACATCACCTCCCGACGTGGCATCTCCAGGGGGCTAATGCAAAAGCACCATTGTGATAGCAGTCCCCGGCCCAGGGTTTCTTGTCTGCCTGTTTGTCCTTCCCATGGCGGCACCACGCGCTGTGGGGGTGTGTTGGGGTGGAAGTGGGAAGTGTGTTTATTTTCATTCGTCTCCTGGCTCGTGCCACTCTGAGTTTGTGGCACTCAGTATTACTAACACTTCCCTGTGCCAGCTGGCAGCAAGGGATGAATCAGATTGGCAGCACCACAGTGTGGACCCCTCACTGGCCAGCTGGCTTGAAGTGATGCCTCTGGCCAAAGTGCTGATGATATCTCCTCCCCTTATCCAGGATGAGCCCTGGCACTAACATGCCAATGGCTTGACCTTGCTGCTGGAGATGTCTTGGTACCCTGCAGGACAGGGTTGTCCCCTCTGGTCCATGCTGCTTGCCCAGAGCCAGATGGTCCCTGTCCCTCCTATATGCTGGAGGTCTACAGTGGCTTCATGATCTGCTCTCTGTCCACTAGCAGCATCCCCAAGCTGGGGTCAACTCTGCAGCCAGGAGGATAGTTTGTCCTCCTGCTGACAAAAAAAAAGCACTTTTACAGGTGTCAAGATTTAACCCTAGATGGCATATTCCTGTTTGTTCCCCATACTGTGTGCATTGGTGCACAAGCACCTAACAGAAGTGTTTGGTGATGACAATATCCCAGAGGGAGTGCAAGGGGGTGCCCTGTAATCCTGTCTGATGGTTACCTCTTCAGCTGCTAAGCATCATCTAAGCATCACTCAGTGCTTGCTCCCTCACCCTGCCCTCAACCCTGGTGGGGAGGAGAATCAGAAAGAAAAGGTAAACCCTGAGGCTTCTGATAAGAACAATAATAATAAATATGCTAATGATATTGTTAATAATTATTATTATAATGGTAAGGAGAGGGAGAGAGAGAACAGGACCCAAGAGAAACAAGTGATGCACAATACAGTTGCTCACCACCTGCTGACTGATGCCCCCAGCCTGGCCCCTTCTGGGTAACTCCCCCAGTTTATATGCTGGGCATGACATTCTATGGCATGGAATATCCCTTTGGCCAGTTCAGATCAACTGTTCTGGCCGTGCTGACTCCTGGTTTCCTGTGCAGCTCCTCTCTGGCAGAACATGAGAAACAGAAAAGTCCTTAGCTTGGAGTAACTCACCACTTAGCAACAGCTTCAACATCGGTGTGTTATCAGCATTATTCTCATGCTAAATCCAAGACACAGCACTGTACCAGCTACTAGGAAGAAATTTAACCCTGTCCCAGGGTAGCACAGGCCAGCACTCAGGGATGGAGGTCTCTGCCCCACAGGCCCATGCCACTGACCCTTATGGGGGGCACCCAGGGTTCCCCACAGGAGCAGAGCCCCTCATGCTGCACGAGGAGGCCAGTGGGGATAGGGAGTTCCTGTCCCTGCAGCCAACCTACAACATGCTCAGGGATGAGAACTAAGTGCTCAGAAATGGGAACCTTGTGCTCAGAGAGGAGAACAGTGTGCTCAGGGTGGAGAACTTTGCCCTCAGGAAGGCATTTGATGGGCTCAATGAGGACTACATTGTGCTCATGGAGGATAATATGAGCAGCTGAAGACCAGCCTGGCCAAAGCCTTCCTGAGGGAAGCTTGAGAGCTCCAGGCTTTAGTCCAGCAGGCTGAGTGTTGTCTCCAGCTAATGACCCAGTGGGGTCTGAATGTATAAAGAAACATGGAAAGGCCAAAGCAGAAGGTCTTTATTCTCCAAGGACAGCTGGAGATATCCAAAGTGGACAACAAAAATCTGAGAGCAGATTGGCCTGGATGCAGTGAAACACCACTTAGGCTTTGCCTGACAAAACCCCCACGGGATCATAATGGGTGCAAAGAGCTCCATCAGACAGCTCCTGCCTCAGGAACAGAGGCACTGCCCTTTATTGCTGAGGTCCTTGAATCTAACAGCAAAATTCTCAAAGATAAAGCAGAAAAATATCTATGAGTGTAATTTGGTGTGGGTTCTATGGATGAGTGTACGGACTGAGACCGTGGGTCTCCCCTTGCAGCCATTTGCTGTAAATAAAAGCATTTGCTTTCCCGTTCTTGAATGTGTGTGCTCAGAGTGGTAGGCTTTATCCTGTGTGGAAACACACTCCTTGCTATTAAGTGCCAGTTGGTTGTGATGTGGATTTAGCTGCTGATACTCTGTTCAGGCACTGTGGAACCAGCAGCAGATGCTGCCCAGGCTCTGAGCTGCACAGTCCAGCCAGGATGGGCTCTGTGTGAGAGGCTGTGCCACAGCTCTGGCTGACTTGAGCTCCTGTGTGGGAGCCAGGAGGCAGCACAGGATGCAGTGCCCTTAAGCAGTGTGCTCATCCCTTCCAATAGCTGTACCAGCCAGAACTAGATGTGAGCAAAGCCCTTGTGTTTCATCTGCTTCTTTTGCCCCTTCTTGGAGAGGTGGGAAGGGTGAGGAGCAGAGATCCCACTGCTGCTGTGCATGGTTTCAGTGACCAGAAGCTCCTTAAGTTCTCTTTCCTCTTCTTTTGGAGTTGGCTGCTGCCTGAGCCAGAAATCCAAAGTCTCTGGAAATTGTGCACCTGTTCCTGCAGCTGGGGAAAGGGGATTGGGGGGTGGTCAGAGATCTTTAGGAGGTTGTGAAGTATTCATATGTGTGAGCTGTGGCAGTGCCTTCTCTCAGCTATCGGTGTCAGTGCTGGCTAAGGATGAGCCTGGCGTATCCAGGCTGGCTAAGGAAGGTGCCAGGCAGAGAAGATACCCTTCCTGTCCTGCTGGGGCTGGCATAGAGGAGTGTACCTAAACTTCCCACCTTTGTCACAATGACATGTGGGACCCTGGCTGAGCCCAAACTCACCAGGTAATCGTTGTAGTTTCATCTTAGCTTTATCCTAGCAGGACCATCTCTGGGCATGAAGTGACCTTTCTTCATCATCAGGCCATCCCTCAACATTTCTGACTAATTTAGGCTACCAACCCCAGGTTCTGCTGTAGGTTTACCCAGCTGCACAGCAAAAGTTCCTCTATCTGGCCAAATTGACCCTCCATAAAGACTTGGATGATTTAGGGTGGTGAAGAGGTGGGAGCTGGCAGAGTTCAGTGCCAAAGTGCTTTTTCCTGATGAGAATTCTTGGACAGCTGTTCACTTTTGCATCTATGTGGTGAGTTGCAAATTACAAGGTAGTTTTCTTCTCCTGGTCCCATAATACCCTTAGTCTGAACAACCATATTTGTGTTGCCACAGAGCTTAAACTGCCTCGGTAACCTGGAGGAGAGACTGTTGGTTAACCTTTATCCCATCAGAAGTGGTGTCTGGAGCTCTTTATTTGCTGCTTTCCAGTCTGTGTTCTTAACTGGGGAAAGCTGGTGGGCACCCTTAGCTACATGAAGCCCCACTCTGCAGCACTGATGATGAAACAAGGATGGTTCTCATCAGCTTTTCTGTGCCAGACAACATCACTTGCTGTTCCTCTCTCCTGTCCATACACAACCATTTGCAAGTAGCTCTAAACCTTAAATTTGACACTCAAATCCTTGGACTTGTCCCATATCTGGCAACTGGTGGTTGCTCATCAGTGAGGCTGGAAGGAAGCAAACTAGCTGGCTCTGACTGCATCTTGCACTCCACCCTGGCTGCCATAATCCAAAGGCTACCGTGCAGGATTAGCATGGGTGTACAAAGCCCTTCCTAATCTGTGAATCGTTACCCCCTCACTGCATTTCACTTCCCAGCAGCTCTGGGTAGGTGGATATGTCAGCACTCAAATCTTTGGTTTCCCCATTCTTCTGTTCTGGAATTTTGGGTGGGGACTTAACATCTGCTGGACATCCTCCCAAAACTCTGCTGCTGAGCTGCACCTTGGACGCTGTAGACAGGGCATGTCACAAGGTCTGTTTGCTCTAACCAGCTGCTCCTTGGCTACCCCTAAGCCCTTCCTTTCTATCAGTTCTCCTTTTTGGCTCTACCCGTTGCTTTTCTCCTCTTTGAAACAGAGGGCATGTTCTGCACCACCTGGAAATAAATCCCTTCTGGATCAGGCTGGGCTGGTGGAGATCCCTGAGGGCTGCTGTGCATGCTCATGCTTGTTAGCCCTTGTGTGCAAGGTATTTAGCCTGACTGGGCTCTTGTCCTGCTGTAAGCTCTGACATTAATATAATGGGTCAGGGCAAGGGCCCTGTGAGATGCTCAGCTGTTGTGCCCTTGATCTGGGGAGCAGTGACCAGCCTGCCCTGCTCCTCTGCTGCCAGTAGATGCTGGGGAGTGTGTGGGCTGCAGGCAGTGCAGCCCAGTTTGCATCCATCAGCTCCTCACCCGCCTGAGCCAGGCTGCAGCACTGTGCCCTGTCCTGAGCAAAAGGCTGGGAGCCCTGTGCCCCCTGCCCTGGGACTGGAATAGGTGCTGTCAGGGGGAGGCTCTGACTGGGTTTTGCTTTGTCCTTCTCTGCTAGGTGCATGCCCAGGAGCAATGGCAATGGCAATGCCAGTCCCATCTCACCAGAGGTGAAACCCAGAGCTGCCCAGTCCCATGTGAGTGCTGCTGCATGAGTTCCTGCGCCCTTCCAGCTCCCGTGGCCCCCTGACATCTGATGATACAGTGAGCCATGGGCAGTGTCCGAGTCAACCGGTGAGTAAGCCTCCTATTAACACAGCTGCTGCCCTGGGTGCCCTGGTCCTCCTTATATGGCCCTCCAGGCCCTACCCTCAGCCCGCTTGTCAGTATATTCTTCTCAAATTACCTTCCAGGGACTTTCCTGTTTCCCTCTCCTTCTCCAAACCAAAACATGCCATACATAGAGGCAGTGCTTGAAGGAGTACTATGGAGGAGAAGCAAAGCACTACATGGTGCTGGACCAGAAAGTACAGATTCCAGAGGCACTGCAGAAGCCACATGTCACTAGGAATCACAGCTGGAGCCACCAGTGCTTCCCTCACTGTGAGATGCGGATGGGTGTCATGAAACCCATGCTAGGGGACTCCAGTTGACATGTCAACACTATGGGGTGGGAGGGAGACAATCCCACGCTCCTGTGAGGCTGCAGCTCAGCAGGCATGAGGGCAGAGTGGTCTTGATGATTCAGTGCATGCACTAAATTTTCTCAGTGGTCAGCGCATCTTCTGCCATCACATGTTTAAGGAGCATTTGCAACTGTCCCAGCATAATGTGAGGGGCAGCGTCAGAGCTGCCTGTGAAGGAGAGGAGCCAGAGGTGCAAATGTCTCCCTGAAAGTGTGTGTGTGTAGCTTCTGCCAAGGAAAATGCCAGTGATCTGGCTGTTGATCTCCAAATTACACCTTTGGCTTCAGATGCAGGATGCTGGAAGCTGCACATGTTGCTGTGGCGACAGAATTGTCCTGAGTGCAGGAAGAGTACAAACATTGTCACCACATACCATGGAATCAGTGAGCAGAGCAGAGGAGAAAATAGAAACTCCCAATTGTATATCAGGTCTAAAATGTGGCCAGGCTATGGGTGTTTGCTCCCAGGCTTGCTGGCTACCCTAGCTGCTGTCAGGTTTCAAAACCTTGTGTCTCTCCTCACCACAAAGGCTAGAAGGTACCACATTGCTACAAGCTTCTGCTTCTTTGCTGCCCTGGCAGGGCTTTGCTAGATATAACCGCCTGGCAGCAAGACTCAGCAAATACTGCAGCTGACCTTCACTAGTTTGGTGAGGGTGGCACCATGGTGCCGGAGCTAGTGAAATGTGCTGTTGTGGAATTCAACAGGGTGGTACTATAGCCCTGTGAGCCACATCTATGTCTCCTACCATCATGGTCCCAGTGGTTGCTGTTACTCTTCACGTATTTCTGATGGAAGTGCCTGTTTGTTTTCTTCCCAGGTACAGCATTGTCTCAACTGAAGAGGATGGGCAGAAGGTCTCTGCACTGGGCAGCATGAACGGGCACAGCCGGAACGGGAAGGGCCATGCTCCTCGGCGGAAGCACCGCAACCGTTTTGTGAAGAAGAACGGCCAGTGCAATGTCTACTTCGCCAACCTGAGCAACAAGTCTCAGCGCTACATGGCCGACATCTTCACCACCTGTGTGGACACGCGCTGGCGGTACATGCTTATGATCTTCTCCGCCGCCTTCCTGGTCTCCTGGCTCTTCTTTGGCTTCCTCTTCTGGTGCATCGCTTTCTTCCATGGTGACCTCAGTGCACCAGCAGTGGGAAGTAGTCCCTCTCTCCTCAAACCCTGCATCATGCATGTGAACAGCTTCCTAGGGGCTTTTCTTTTCTCAGTGGAGACACAGACAACCATTGGGTATGGCTTCCGTTGTGTGACTGAGGAGTGCCCGCTGGCTATCATGGCAGTTGTGGTCCAGTCCATCGTGGGCTGCGTTATTGACTCCTTCATGATTGGCACTATCATGGCCAAGATGGCAAGGCCCAAGAAGCGGGCCCAGACCCTCCTCTTTAGTCATCATGCGGTCATCTCCGTGCGGGATGGCAAACTGTGCCTCATGTGGAGGGTGGGCAACCTGAGGAGGAGTCACATCGTGGAGGCCCATGTCCGAGCACAGCTCATCAAGCCCTACATGACAGAGGAAGGGGAATACCTTCCCCTGGACCAACGGGACCTAAATGTAGGCTATGATGTGGGTCTTGATCGTATATTTTTGGTCTCACCCATTATTATTGTTCATGAGATTGATGAGGAAAGCCCACTCTATGGGATTGGCAAGGAGGAGCTGGAGACAGAGAACTTTGAGATTGTGGTTATTTTGGAGGGGATGGTGGAAGCCACAGCCATGACCACACAGGCACGAAGCTCTTACCTTGCTAGTGAAATCCTCTGGGGTCATCGTTTTGAACCAGTTGTGTTTGAGGAGAAGAACCACTACAAAGTGGATTATTCACGCTTTCACAAGACCTATGAGGTAGCCGGCACGCCTTGCTGCTCAGCCCGGGAGCTGCAAGAAAGCAAGATGACTATCCTACCTTCTCCCCCACCTCCTAGTGCCTTCTGCTATGAGAATGAGCTGGCACTTGTCAGTCAAGATGAAGATGAAGATGATGACGAAGTGGGTGTGGTGTTAGGGGGCAGCACCAAGGAGGAAGGAGGTATCATCCAGATGATGGATTTTGGAAGCCATCTGGACCTGGAGCGGCTCCAGGCAACTCTGCCTCTAGATACAATCTCATACCGCAGGGAGTCAGCCATCTAACGCCTCCATCCTCCCCGTTTCACGCCCACCACCCACAGTCTCCTCTGTTCTGCACCCATACACTGGATAAGTCCCTTGACCACTAAACAAAGCCTCCCATGACTGCCTCTCAGCCCCTGAGTACATCAAGGCCTGGAGCTGCTCTGATATACTCCCTTTCCCCTGAAGTCATACTGCCTGGAAGAGGAGTGAGGATACACTGCTCTTCCTGGGTGTGCAGCTTCTGCTGGGACCTCTTTCCTGCCCAGAGACAGGAGAGCAGCAGGCCTGGTTTCTTGTCTCTGGAGAGGTGACAGGAGTCCCTGCCTACAACAGACAGACTGGGACCCACAGCAAGTGTTTCTGCTGCTGAGGCAACAGCAGACTTTCTGTCCACTCTCAATATGGGTAGGCCCCATGGCTGTCAAGAGTCATGGCATTCGCTAGGAGAGGAGCAATACCTAAGCACTGACCAGATGAGGATGGAAGGGAGAGTTTAGGACTCCTGGAGGGAGTAGGGAAGGATCTCAAGGTAGGGGTTTACTTGCATGTTTGTTGCTTGTTGCACATGACTCTTTCTTTGTACATAAAACAGAACGGGAACTGAAATCCATATTCTTCCACTGCAAATGCCAAGCTAGGAGACAAGGACACTCTAGGTAACCTACTCTGCACTCTGCTTGGCTTTTGGCATCTGTCACCTCCAGAAGCAGCTCGGCTCCTCCGACTCAAACCCAGCTCTCCCAGTCCTCTTGAAAAACATGTCCTGCTCCTCTCCTGAGACACCTGGCAGAGGAGGCAGGGCCCTGTGCTTGCCACACTCAGACTGCTCCCTGGCACAGAGTGGCCGGGATGACAGACAAGTGACCTGACTGGACAGCAGACCCTCCACTTGCTCCTTTCACCTCCTCTGTTCTTCTCCCAGCTGCCATCAGCTGTAAAACTGAATTTGTAACTATTTATTTTTAATAAAGTCTAATATCCCAGGGGGAGGTTTGAAAGCAGAGGACACACCCCAAGGCTGCAGCCTCGTACAGAGACTGATGAGGGTTATTGGCTTTGGTGTTTGCTGTTTGCATGGTATTGGAGCCTGGAAGCTCCACCACGAGGGCTCCCTTGTTCTGGGCCTTTCTGGTAAAGACCTACAATAAGAGGCTCAGAGAATTTTCTCAGGGAGAAGATCATACAAAATGTATGTACAGAGGGAATAATTTGTATTAAAATTACCAGTACAGTGGATCCAACAATCCTGCTTGCTTTGGAGATGAGAGTTTTGTCCAAGGAAGGGTTATAGATATGTTTGATGAAGAGTCAGAGATGTGCAAGGCATTGCTCTAGATGTAAGACTCAAAAAATCCATAAAAACCTCTCAAAGTATCTCTTTTTGCTAGAGGCAAGTAAAGGGGAAATGAGAAAGGACATAAACTAAAGCTAGACCTGTAACACCACTTTGCTGTCATTTCACAAAAGGAGTGAAAACCTGATGAGCCTTTACCTTCAGGAGCAGCAGAATCACCCCTTCAAAACTGCAGGTAAGATGAGGGCAGAAATACAAACAGGGAGCTCAGGAAGCTGCTCTGGACACCCAACAGTTATACTATGTGGGGAATGGCTGGAGAAATTAGGTCCCACCCAACCCCTGATCTACATAGCATCTAGATATCGGTTTGGAATTGGTTCAAGATGCAGCAGGAAGAAGGGAAGAAGCAGAAGGGGAAGGAAATGGCAGGACAGAGAGGAAGGAGACACAGCAGGCAGCAGGCAGAAGAGGAAGGGGAAAAGAGGAAGAGAAAATTAGGTAATAATGGGAGTGTACTGGAGAAAGAGCATGGATAGACTAACAAGATGTGTCTAGACCCAGACATGGCCATTTCTCATTCCAGGATGTGGATTCTGTGGGGGAACAACTCCATTTGCTCCATTCAGTGGAGTAACTCTATTTACCACCACTCTCTTTAACCAGCCATGTAGCCAGTTGCTTCTTTTAAGCAAACAGTGCACCCATCCAAGCCATGAGCTGCCAGTTTCTCCAGGGCAATGCTGTGGCAGACAGTAACAAAGGCTTTACTGAAGTTCATGTAGACAACACCCACAGCCTTTCCCTCATCCACTAAGTGGGTCACCTTGTCATAGAAGGACATCAGGTTGGTCAGGCAGGACCTGCCTTTCATAAACACATGCTGGCTGGGCCTGATCCCCTGGTTGTCCTGCATGTGCTGTGTGATGTCAAGGTGATTTGGCCAACACCAAGGGTTAGGGTTAAGGTTAGACCTTTCCTGGTACTGAGGTCAGGTTCACAGGTCTGTAGTTCCTCAGATCCTCCTTCTGGCCCTTCTTGTAGATGAGTGTCTCATTTACTAACTTCCAGTCACCTGGGACCTCCCTGGTTAGCCACAACTGCTGGTAAATGATGGACAGTGGCTTGCTGAGCTTTTCTGCCAGCTCTGGGTGGCTCTTGGGTGGTGTAGCAGGTCACTGAGCATTCCCTCCTGGATTGTGGGGCCTTCTTTCTGCTCCCTGTCCCTGTCTTCCACCTCAGGGGGCTGGGTACCCTGATGACAACTGGTCTCACTATTAAAGGCTGAGGCAAAGAAGGCATGAAGTACTTCAGCCTCTTCCTCGCTTTGTAGCAATCCTTGGCTCCAGAGCCCATCTGCCAGAGTGGTTTGCATCAGAGCCCTTGCTGAAATGATGGATACACCAGGTTTCAAATGGCTGCTGTCTCTCCTGACCCTCCTGGCACTGAGGCAGAGCTACTTCTACTCAGAGCTCCAATGCTCCCTACTCAGGAGCTGGGGCTAATTTCCAGGGTTTGCCAGTTTAGGAAATGAAGTCACTCCCTCCTTTCATTATTCACTTATTTTCCCCTGAGGGAATAAGCAGGGGCTAGTATTGACCTGGCTTTTAATACAGCTTTCAGAGTCGGGTGCCTGACACTGGCCATGGCAGTGGAAACAAACTAATGGACCGAGAGAGAAGGACTTTGCGTGCGAGGACATGGACATTTAGGACACAGGCTGGGGGTGGTGGCCTCCAGGACAGGGGGAACCCTCATGGCTGGACACCCCCTTACTAAAGTACAAAATCCTTCAGGTGGGGATGAAGTGCCCACAGCCCATTAGCTCTTGGGAGTCTCACGACCAAGAAGTGAGTGTCCAGAGATACCAGGCAAGGATGGTGCACCTGGGCCATGGGCACACACAGATTGAGTGGTTTGAGGCAACACACAGGTCAACACTGCCATCCCTCACTTCACCTGGTGGGGGTCTTGAGGAAAAAATGGGAAAATGTTGCAGTAAAACTGAGGAAACAAGCATCATGCAGCTATGCTGGTAGTCCAGCCTTCACCATATATCTGAACCTGCTGGCTCTTTCCATGTCATGTTTGGCATCACGGTGAAGAAAACGCTGAGGCATTGATGAATACTCAGCCAAACCCCCACTGTTCACAATAAAATGGTGAGAAAGCTTTCAATGCTGTCAGATCC